TTATTCCTGTATAACTTTTTCTAGGTAGGCCATGAGCAAAGTAGTTTAATTTTCAATTTAGAAAATGACCGCTATATTATTTTAAACTTGGGTACATACTTCTGATTTCACTGTATATAGCGCATACTAATGAGTCATTTGCGGCAACTAAAATCATTCAAAATGTATCCTTTTTTGCCAGACATACTTTTATGTGACCATTGTGGCAAATTATTATGTTAGTGAGATATAATGGTCCATAATTAGGTTTGGACCATTAGTCTATGGGAGTATATTTGCCCGCATAATATTACATAATAGAGGTCAAAAACCATGAAGTACTTTTTAAGCACATGGATATGATACAATCCAAAGAGCATATGGTATACTTTTCAAGCATAAGCATAATGGAAGCTTGAAAGCATAGGGTACTTTCAAGTATATACTCAAGCATATAAGATGAAAGAGGTCAGGCCTATTGTAACATTTCCCCCCTCTAAAAGAACATTTCGTGAATGCATGACCCCAAATATTTGCTGTTTTCTCCTTAAATAAAATCAGAAACATATTTTCTAATTACTACAAGATTTTTTTTCTTAAGAAGCCACTTCCCAATATTCTGAGAATTTTTTTTTGAATAACCTCCACCAAAGAGATTTACTATAAACCTCTGATCCCCACTTTGAATTTGCCAATTCAGGAGTGCATGTAGCAATTACAGTTTCTCCCAAGAGCAAGCTTAATTATTGCGTAGGTTGAGATATGGACTCGTTACTTTCTTTCATATTTTTTGACCTGAAGAGTAATTGTTCTTCTCGACAATTTATACTGATTGGTTTCTTGATGATGGTAGAGTCATTAACCTTTGTTCAAATAGATGCATGATTGTAGCGTTTCCTTGCTAGTGAAATTGCTATCTGGGGGTCCCTTTTAAAATGGCAAAAAAACAATTACAGAGTCAAATATACTTGAAATAAATTATACAGACATGTAGCCAATACTGTAAATTATTTAGAAATGCAAGAAAATTGAATACTTTATTCAAATTTTTAAGAGAAAATTAGAGAATTAGTATGAGCAGACGGATTATATTTGATTTTAAGCAATGATAGAGCATCAAAGAGTAATAGCCATTTACAATACTTGTTGTAATGACAGCTTTTAGTGGCTGATCATAAGAGTCTTAAGAATTTATGACGTTTGTTGATTATAAGATTGACCTGTTGAAATTATGGTTATTTGGCTTTTAAGGAATAAGTCATATTCTTCAGTTCAAATTGACCAGATGGGTATATCCATATTTTATGTGTACTTTTCCCTGCGTGTATGACTTAGGCGTTCATTGTCCCAGTGAATGAAACCTTGAATTGCCGGGAATTTGTTAGAATTGAATTCACTGATGTACAGGTATGCCTTTTTAAATGCAAACAGATTATAAATATTGTATTTTTTTACATATTTTAGATTCACAAATAATTAGTTTATTTGGATTTGCTATTCTGTTGAGTCAGCATTCTCTACTTATAAAAACAGTCACGCATCCTCTTCATTTGCTGGCATCTCATGATTTCCGCTAAAACCGATATTATCCGGGTATGATGGTCATATTTAGAAATGCAAATTACGAGTGTGCAAATACGCGAAATACAGAAATGAATAAAATAAATAAGAATTAGACACTCTTAGCAACATCAGAAATCAGACACTAGCTATACTCAAAATAAAAGCGAATTGAGTTGAATTCTTGATCAGCAGATGTGGAATATTACCCAGCGGTAATATGCCTTATTAACTAAAAGGTCATCGTAGAGATTGTTCAACGAAAACCTTGTTGTTGTTTCATCTAACTCATTTAATTGTCGTTACGCCTGATTTTTTCCACCTGTTTCCGACTCTTTTTGTAAAATCAATCAATAAAACTTTATCTCCAGGAGGTGGGATTTTCTCCTTAATCAGTTCATTATTCAGTGCTCTCCTGCAAGTTTTGTTCTTAACAGGACGCAAAATCTAATTGTAACTTGTTTTCATCAAAATATGTTATTAATTCATCATTTTATGTCGCCATATTAAAGTCTCTAACATTTTTAGGGGAAAAAATGGATGGTGTTCGATGGTTGGTATTAGGCATTTGGTGTTTGGTGGTGGTTAAGGAAAAAAGTTCATATTGAAAGTCCTTCAGGATTAGAGAGATGTTCAGATATTCAGATTTTACTTTTTTGGAAATCTTTTTATGAAATCAACTTATTTTTCAAATCAAAAACAGCAAAAGAATTAATTTTGTCACATGATCAACAAACACTTTCTATTACACCCTTTACAGGCCCTTGGGGGTTCAATGGGTTTGAGCGAACCTCATCTGGCCAAAATATTTTTCAAAATCATGCAGTTTTTCACCATTTTGAGTATATATTTTAAGTGATTTGGGCCATTTTTGGACTGAAATTGTTTAAAGTAAGCCCCCTTGGAATTTTTTAAAAAGAAATCCCCTTTGGCAAAATCTTGGTACGGCCCTGCTTAATAATACAAAGCTTGGAATCTGCCAGTTGGAATTTAGATAAATCAACATGAAGTTCATCTTCCAATTTAAAAGATATCAAAGGACATCAAAAGTGTCCTCTTTTACAGACTGTGCCTCTATGCAGTAATATAGAATTGTGACAGGATGCACAAATATTATATTAAAAGTAATTGAGTATGTAGACAAAGTAATCAGTGGTATGCTTTCTAATCATGAAAATAAATGGGCTATGTTACTTTTGTAATCATAATTAAACCCCCGGGATAATTTGTGCATTCCTGGCTCATTTTTGATATTTCTCTCTAGAATCTATCTAATTTAAAGTATTGACTACATTCCTGTTCATTTTTTCCTTGTTTATTCCATGCTTTCATATTTTATTTCACATTTTAAAATATGACCTCTATGATATTTTTTACTACCAGAGCAGAGGATCGACATGCTTTGCATAATTTGTAGGCTTTTATTTGTATATTTCCATCCTCTTATTGTAATCAATCATGTTTATGTCACTACATATGACATATTGTTATGGTCTCATGTTTATGTCACCACATATGACATATTGTTATGGTCTCATGTTTATGTCACCACATATGACATATTGTTATGGTCTCATGTTTATGTCACCACATATGACATATTGTTATGGTATCATGTTTATGTCACTACATATGACATATTGTTATGGTCTCATGTTTATGTCACTACATATGACATATTGTTATGGTCTCTAACTTTTTTTGTAAATGGTGTTTGGTGTTCGGCAGTTGTTGTTTGGCAGTTGGTGATCAACATTTGCATAACATTCTGCGGTTTTGTTCTAATTCTGCTTACTCTAAATTATATGGGACAGCTCGCTCCTCATTACTCATATTTATTAGTCTTACAAATGGTACATTAATGCTCCTTGTATCATTTCATATTAACCATGACTCGCACATGAATATCTCATTTGGAGAAAATTAAAACAGTATAAGGCGTATTCTGATATCTACTAAAGTGAAAACGTGAAATTAACAAGGAATTTAGGATAATTAGCTGTGGATTGTATAAAAATTGGAGAAAATCTGAAAATTTGTTTAAATTTTCAGAAAATTTTGGGGAAATAACTAAAAATATAGACGAATCATTTTTAACATGGGCAAACTGCCAAAATGCATTAACTTGGCATTTTTCATCATAGTCAGAATTTAGAAATGTTATGAGGCAATTATCGACTGCTTAAAGAGGTATCCTGCAAACATCAAGTTATTGAAAAAGCAGATAAAATATTGAGAAGAATGTCAAGGTGATCCGTTTCAACAAATATGCATTTAGAGTGGAAAAGAGTGGAATCAGCAAGGAAAAAAGTAAACAGACATGCACAGTACAAGACATTGTAAATTGTATAGAAAATCAAAAAATGAGAATGTTGCGTAGAATACAAATTAAAAGAAAGATTTTCAATGAATCATGTAGATACATGTAGTTATTCCTTTTGTTGGTTGCACAGAAATATATGTCAGTAAAGATATTATTTTACTGAATTATATTATATCTCATTTACATGTATAGTACCATGCCCCAGTTTCTATAAATTAGGACTATGGGGGGGGGGGGACTTAACATGTTTAAGAGCTATTGTTCATCTGAGATTACAAACATGTCATGGACACTTTTCTCATTATACTAAATATATCTTAAAACATACAAATAATAAATAAATAAATAAATAAATACAACCTCTTTGCTAATATGTGTGTTATTTTACGTTTTGCGGTTTCATTAGGAGCAGGCAACAGGGGATTTTCACCGGTTGTTTTCACAAAATCGCCTGTTGTTTTCAGGGTCTTTTCAACTTTTACATTGTTAAATTCATGATTTTCATTAATTTTGCCTGTTGATTTCATTTATTTAGCCTGTTATGAGAAATTCTAGTGAAACCCCTTTCACACTGTCCTGTGGCACTGTGGCAAGGCGTGTAGAAATAGAAAATAGAAATAGAATATGAAAATAGCAATAGAAATGACAGCCATGACTGTTGAGTGGGTTTGCCATTGCTGTTATCTAAGTTTAACTTGATAAGGTGAATAGCCTATAGTCACCTATCATATTAACAGCATATTATTTGTATCATACAGAATACAGGTTAAAATTCAGGTCATATATCCCAAGGAGAAATTTCCATCTACAAACTCTTGATTCTAATATTACTTTATAATGACTATAAATCATGTGGATGTATTCAGTTTACAATTCATTGTAAATTACAGTAAATTTTTTTTTGGTTTTTGATTGTTTAATAATTTATGTGCTAAAACCTGTCCTATTTCCTGCTCTTAGACAGATTGTGTAACTCAATCATGCCATTTCTAGATAAAATACATTTTTCATGAATCTGAAAAACCAAATCTAATCTGAATCTTTAAAACATGTTTTTCATATGATTCATATTCTGAAAATGGCTAGAGCCTTTTCAGGTAATTCATGATGATTTACAAAATTATTAATGTTCTTAAACTGTATTTTCAGGATGGTGTTACCATAGCAACATGATCAAGACTATCAAAGTATCCATGGCAACCAAACATCAAAATGAATAGATGATGTCCATGGCAACATATTTGAGACAAGTGAATTATATATAACAGTATGTAATCTACAAATTATCAAGTTGACAATGTTTCCATAGCAACACATATCTGTATCACTTACGATGATTGCAGTATCTATAGAAACAGGTATCCATAGCAATATCTCTCAAAACATTGATGTATCCATAGCAACATCATCCCGATGATTGAAGTATCCATGGCAAATGTAAATGGGGTGACACCAAATACCAAATATGAATCGCCTGAAATTGTTATCGACAAGGTGAAAGAAATAAACCACCCCTTAGGCAATAACAATGGGGATCTAGAAACCCCAGAGGATGGGACTCCAAACCAAGTGGGCGGAGTTTGTAATGAGATTGATAGCAAGATTGACAGTCAACCATTTAAAAAGAACAAAAGGCGAGTAAGAGGATATAAACCGAAACAAAGGTTTGGAAACCATTCTCTGAAAACTAAAATGGGACGGGAAGCAGATGAATCTAATTTAAACGATTCTGAATCTGATTTAATGCCGAACGAGGAACGCTCCAATCAAAAACAAGCAATATTACCGAAAACATATCGGAAATGTAAACGTCAGGATACTGCAAGTGATCAAAATATTGAAGTCATTCATGTTGCTCCGTGTCCCAATATAAAGGGCTCAAAGAGCGCAACTAATATTGGGAATAATATGGTACATAGAAATTCTTCTGAGAAGGAGAAATCTCAGAGTTTGAGTATGCATAATTTGTCTCATTCAGAGAGTGCCAAAGGGGGTGCGAGTGGGGGTGTCACGACCCCAGGGGGCACAACTGATGGTTCACATGGAGGCGATAGATCCAGTGCCAAAAGTAGCATGGAGAGCTCACACTCAGAGGACTGTTCCGTGAAATTAATCCTGTCGCCTCCCGGATCACCGTCAAAATGGTCCAGGTTACGTCACACTATCAAAACTGTGAATACCATACAGACTGTCAATCAGCCAGTTCAGAGAAAAAAACGAAAAAGTTCAGGACTACAGAGGCAGGATTCGTTCTTAAAAAAATTCTCCACTCGTCAAAGTGTCGCTCAAGAGGCACCAAACTCAGATGACGATGAAGTTGTCGCAAAACAGAAAAAGGATCGGATTAATCAGAATAAAGCGGGACGATTTGTGATAAATCCAGATGAAAATGTTATGTTTTGTTGGCTTGCAGTGGTGACGCTAGCTGTGCTTTACAATCTCTGGTCTTGTATTGCTAGAGAAGCGTTCAAGCAACTAGAGGAAGGGTATACAGCCGTGTGGGTTTCGTTTGATATTCTTTTTGACATAGTTTACCTCGCTGATATCGCAGTTCAGTTACGGACCGGATATCTTGAAAAAGGACTTATTGTGTACAATTCCAAAAAACTTGCCTTCCACTATATGAAATCAAAGTTTTTCATTTGGGATTTAGTGACTCTCGCTCCATTGGATTTTATACAAATTCACGAATCATTTGGAATACATCCCATTATACGGTTTCCAAGATTTCTCAAAGTATACAGATTGCATAGATTCATTTATATGGTTGAATCTAGAACAGTTTACCCAAATGTTTGGCGTGTTGCAAATTTAACACATATTCTGTTCCTTGGTTCTCATTGGTTCGCAGCCTTCTACTATATGATATCCGAGGCGGAAGGATACAGGGGTGGGTGGAGCTACCCACGACCACATGGAGAATTCGCAACAGTTACCCGAAAATACCTCAAGTCACTCTATTGGTCAATGTTGACGCTAACAACCATTGGAGATCTTCCGCCACCCGAAACCAATTGGGAGTGAGTATTATTTTATTTTCATTATTTTATTTCCAGTATATACAAGTACAATATAGTAGAATTCAGATGTAAGGCTTGTTATGTCACCACCACAAGTAGTGACATTGTTATGTCACCATACCACCACAAGTAGTGACATATTGCTATAGTCTCTAACTTTTTCATAGACAGTGTTCGGCATTAGGTGGTCGGTATCTGGCATTTGGTATCTCTAACAAATGGTAGGTGGTGACATTGTGCATGTTAATGCGTTGTCTCGATTTCATGGGTACTTTAAAAACACGTCATGGGGGTCATGTTTTGAAATGCAAAATAGAGTGGAAAAGAGAGGAGTTAGTTATCACTCTACTATACCTAACACCTAGAAATGCATAAGATACTTTGTCTAATTGAATTGTTTAACCTTTAGCATGCTGCCGGCGAGTGAGTCCGCCCATGCTTTACTATCCCGTGTGACTGCCGGCGGACCCATCCACCCGATTTCAAACTTTTAAAAACTTTACTTTTTCGCGCCATTCTTATGATCCAATTAGATTGCTCGATTTATTCAGTGCCTCACATGACTTCCTGTTGACCTAGAATGGCGATATTTCGAAAAATATTTCTCAATTCAACAATTTAAACAGTGTTTTAGTCATTTTTAGTGAACAAATCGTACAAAATGGCGGCAAAAATTTATTACAACAAAAATGTGGAGGAAATGGATTGCGATTTCGAGCTCTTTAGGCTCTTGGAAGCCGATAATGGTCATCGGAAATAGAAACTAGAATATTTTCTGAACTCAAAAATTGATCATTCGATCGCTGTAAATTCAGTTTTGAGTTCTGACCAGACTTTTAATCTTCCCAGGGGCAAAGCAGCGGATTCCGGAGGAGTATTCATGGTATATTTATGCCCAGTCGTGTTAAGGTATGAAAAAAATTCATGAGAACATTTTTTTCATGAGCCAGGCCAGTGTATCTTCCCTTTGTGAAAATTTTATCCAGATTCAATTAGTATTTATTGAGATATTAATTATTTAGTCCAGGCATATAATTTTTTGCACTCTTTGAAAAATAAGCCAGTCGCGTAGGATATATTTGCTGAAATAAGCCAGCATGCTAAAGGTTAATATATTTTTGAAAGTACCTTATTATCATCTAACAGTCATACGATAAACCATTAATAAGGAACAGACAAATAAAAACAAATATAAAAATATATAATCATTACTAATAAGCCAAGTGGGTTGCTCATGAACACCAAATGCAAGGTATAGTAGAGTGGTTATGAACAGGGGAAGGTTTAAATATACAGGGGTTGCATTAGAATTTCTGACTATTTCTGACAAATGAAAAAAACATGCAATACATTTTTATGTCACCACCAGAAGTTCTGACATAATGTTACAGTCTCAAATGTGGATGGTGTTTAGCCATTTGTGTTTGGCGGTTGATCTTTGACATGCCGTGGTGTTTGGTGTCTGTAACAAATGGCAGGTAGTGACATTTTGCATGTTAATAACTTGTTTAGAAATTGCTGTTTTCACATGGAAATAGTTGCAGAATTCTCAAAAACAGCACATCAATTTATTTTGGTAAAACTGATGAGAAATTGCTTAAGGAAACCCCTGATGTAAGCAATTATGTAATATCCTGAATTTTGGAGAGAAATTGCATGAAATAAACATGATCATGATCACCATGACAAACTATTCAATAGTTCATGTATTTCTATACAATTTAGAGAATTGACTTCATGCTAAAATCAAATGCATTTTTACCATTCATTTGTACAACTCAGTTCAGTATACTCTGTTTGCTAAGAGAAATTCCAAGAGTCTTATATGTATAAACAAATTTTTTGTTGAGTAGGGCCTACCAGAAATCCAGGGATTTTTCATTTGGCACATCTTTTACCATTTCAGGAGTTTATAGTAAAATTGGTAACTTTTTCCAAAGATTTCTGCTAAACTTGCAAGCAGGTCTTAATGTTTTGAATTGAAACGTGGCACGTAAGGGAATAACTTTGAATCGGCGCTTTAGACCTTTAATTTCAAAAACAAACTTGTATTTCAAAGATACATTTCAATGTACCTGTAGTTCTAAGTGATTTTTCATTTTGTAAAAGGCTGTTATAGCTTCTTCTAAGTTTCAAGGTATGATAAATCCATGTTTTTGAATTTGGTTCTTCACCAGATACATGACAGTTTAAGTAAGCCAGATGAAACGTTGTTTTGGTTTTAACATATGCTTATAATGGCATATAGTTGTACCATCTGGTTAAAATCCAATGAAATAAATTTACAACGGTTGTAATTTCAAAAACAAAATAGAGTGATAAAGAATGGAATTAGCAAGGAATAGAGTAAACATACATGTAGTGAACACTCTAAATTGTTAAGAAATGACAAAAAATCAAGAAGTTTATTCAAATTTTACAGAGAAAATGAGTGAAATAGGCGAGCATGATTTTACTAATATCAGTCCAACATGCAGAATATCTTCATTATGTTATTCTTTGAAAGAGCACATCATAACACTTCCTAATGTTTTCTAAATCATCGAGGCAGTTTTATTGAGTCGTGTCATTTTGTTGCTTGTTTTGTCTGATTTACTTGACGTGTGATAGCCTCTCTATCATTATCAATTGGTAATAAGAAATCATGAAACGTAACATTAGAAAATACAAATATAACCAATGAAGATGAAAGGAAACGTGAAACACAAATAAAAAATAGACAACATTAGCCGGGGAACTTAGCCAGGATTCTAAATTAGGTGACTAAATTAATATTGAAAGGTATAGGCAAAACCTAATTCAGCAAAAAGTATATCTGGCTACTGTATGTCACATACCTTTCACTACTCCTTGCATTCGTTCGACTTCGCTTCTCAAAAGAGAGCTTCATCTTCACTCTTTCAGATTTTAATAAATCTCTTAAATCACTGAACTATCAGAGTTAGTCATCAGAATAAGGACGCCTTTCTATATATGGTCATTTTCTCTGACGTCATCGCATACACTTTTAGCACTTGTTCCTTCCAGTTCGCTGATTGGTTGAGAAAAAGGTCAGCTTGCTGATTGGTTGAGAAAAAGGTCAGCATTGTAGGTTTAGAATGATTTATGACCCGAGCTGTCATGGGCATCGGTTGTGGGGCCGGGGCTAATATAGTTTATACTAGGCAGAGGGTAGCTGATAACTAGACTCTGGGCACAGGGTAACCTTTCACAGCAGTTTTAATATAAAATGTGTCCAAAAAATGTTCCTGTTCAATTTTTGCATTGTGAACCATTTTCCTCATCTGCCTCATTATAAAAAAGATGTAGTTCTTTCAATGTTCATCATGTATCACCAAAATAAATTTATGTAATATTAAAAGAATGTGACCATAGTGCCAAAGATAAAACACCAAAGAAATCTCAACAAGAGAAAGAAACAGCCAAGAGACTGAAGGAGTAAAACCAATTGTGAGAAAAACAAACCCCCAGTATCCAAATATATGATCTTACATAAAATAACATACTTAAATACCATTGATTGCAAAGTTATAATAAACTAAAATAATCAAAATAACATCCTGGTATAATGATTTTTGTTATGTTTTACAATCAAATCAGGAATCTGACATCCTTAGAATCCAAATTGATCAATTTGTAATTATTTTGGCCCTATGGCTAATGCTCTATACAGTGCAGACAGCCTGGCAGACTAGATATCTAACAAATCAAAATCTTGTCTGCTTTTGGGCATAATATTATTAAATGCTAGATTATGAGGAATTAGAAAGAAATCATTGAATATAATTTATATCATATAGAAGCAGACATCTAGATCATATAAGGATTATTTTGTCACATGATTGATATTCATTTATTAAACCATAATCTATCCTCTATAAATATCCTATAGAATTTTATGCTTAAAATCGCCGACTGCTAATGTTTATTTCAAATGATTTCTCTCTAAAATTTGAATGAGGTGTCTGATTTTTTTGCATTTTTATACAATTTAGAGTTTTTCCTAAAAACCTGGCTACTTTATTTCTTGGTCATTCCACTCTTTTTCAGGGCATTTTTGATTCTAAAATGTGACCTTGAGCATTTTTCAGTTGGCATATAGATTAACCCTAAGAGGCCATAGACTAAATAGATTATCGATTCAAGTGCAATATATTGATCTTGACCAAGTAATTTATCAAATTAATCATAATGTTGCTCATTTTGTTGTTTCTCTAGTTTTGCATTTGTTCCTTGAGTCAAGCACCCTCCCCCCATCCCCTTATCAAATCCACCTTCTATTGTGGGGGTGAGTCATGGAGGGAGAGGGGGTCACAAGGACTTGAGCAACTTGGACTATACCATTTTTGAGATTGTTGAAAGTATGCTTGCATATGTTTTCAATCACATAAAAAGTCATGTATCGCATATATACCTTCAATATAATATACGTTATTGAATGATTTGAAGTGCAATACAGGATATATTCTGCTCGAGAAATTCCGTATTGGAATGAGATGAAGTCGAGTTCCAATACAGAATATCGAGATAACTTTTGATCCTCTGTATTGCTACTGAGAATGTCCCATCCGTACCAATATTCTCTGTATTGCGACGGAGATGATCAATGGGGACGATCTCAATAGCAATACAGATTGGTACAGCACAAGAACTGACCAATCCGAAGGCTTCATTTTACGAATCATACGATAATATGATTTATTTAGCCAATTCTGAAATATTAACATTCATTTATTGCAAGCAGATAAAATTAGTTTAGAACTTTTTTATTTCGATATTAAGAATTTTGAGGAATTGGTTTCAAAGGAAAAAAATCATTAAATACCTTTAAATAATTAAAGCATCTGTTCAAATCTAAAAAAATGTGTCTAGTAATTAAGGGAATATATCAAGCAATGTTTGTTTGTATCTGTATAATATGTTTGGAAAGCAACACTATGCAAGTATATATTATGTCTAGAAGGCAACTATAAGCAAATTTAGTTAATTGACAATTACTA